TATGAAGAAACATTATTTATAGAAATCTTAAACCAGAAAATATCTTAGGAGCTTATAATTACTCAAATTCTTTTTTTATAGTTTTACATTTATTTACAATTAAATTTAGTGCATTATTCATATCTATAGGATCATTTAATTCTAATTATATTTAGGGTTAAGGTTTTTATATTCTCAATGAATCTTATTTTAATGATGCTCTTCTAAATCCATAACTTTATTCAGCAATATCATCAGAAGTCTTTATAATTGTTTATTTAATTGAAGTAATTTAATTTTATGATTATTGTTTGAAGGTTAGTTTTTGTTTCTTATCTAGTGTAATTTTTTTATTTTATGTTTTTGAAGCTTCATCTTCAGGAATGTTTTTTCCACTTAAAGTTTAATCATTTATTTCATTCTTTCTATGTTAGTTCGCCTAATTTTTAAGTTCTTTTATTGTTTTAACAGTTGTAGATTAAATAATGCTAGAATCAATTAAAGATTATTACATTAACTATAAATATATATATATCAACCAAGAAAAGTATTACATCTATCATAATTCTCTAGTTTCTTATTAACAAATTCTTATCTATTAGGATAAATAAATCAAGAAGATATAGCTTTCTTTGTAAATTAAGAAGTAATTTTAGAATTATTAAAATAAGTATTTAATTTTATTTTTTTCTAAAATTACTTTTTAATAAACAAGTTATCCTCATCTTTTTTCACATTAATTTCTTTCATTATAGATTTTAAAGTATTTTAGTATTGATTATCAAGTAATTAATAATCTTCTTAAATCATTATTTAGTTTATTTAATCTAATTTCTTAAACATAATATTAAAATAGTCATATTCTTTCTAGGAAGTGAAGCTTCAAACAATAATACTTTTATAGATGATAATCCTTTTCAATTCTCTATTTAACTTATTTACATTATTCTTTAAATTATGGGGAAATGAGTACAATAAAATATGTTATATTAGTTTCTTATTCCAAAAGTAATTTAATAGCATTACTAGTCTCTTAAATCTATTAAAGATTACCAATCAAACAAACTTCTTTCTCTCTATATTAGATATAAAAGAATGGATGATTGATCTCTATATTTACGAATCTCAGCATATTATTTTAGATGATACATATTTTCTTAAACAGTTTTAGTTTCATTTCAATTATATATAATCTTTAAACACATAAGGTTTTTAGAATCTTAGATATTTCTGAAACAGTTGATTCAATATTTTATTTAGAACCTTTAATTTTAATTGGAGTAGCTTTATCCATAGGAAATATTTCTTCACTATATTTATTATATATTATATTAATTTCTTATCTAAATTATTGTTATTTTAAATTATAATTCTATATCATACAATTTCATTATTAATCTTTTTAAATAAATAATAGGTACTTTTAATCTAACCTTCAATAATTCCTAATTCTTTTTTAAGTTCTTTTATAATTTATTCAATCATTATTAATATTGTTCTAAATATACTTATCTATTAAATTGAACCAATAACAGTAAAATTATTTTCTTTCTTAAAAAAATCAGCATATTATTAATCAATTTATTCAAAACTTATTTTATTTCCTATCTTATATATTAATGGAGCATTTTTTTTGCATACTTTTTATTCAAGTATATTAATTTTAAAACATTCTTTTTTAGTATCAATATTTTTTATATTTAATATTTAAATCTATTCTATTAATTATTGCAATTCATTATTATCATTATATTATTCTTCAAATTTTTTGTTAAGCTACATCTACAATTGATTACATTTACTAGAGTTTACCATTGTTCTAAGGATAGAATTCAATAGATTATTTAGTAAATTAATCTAAATTATTTAATGATGTCCCTGTAGATTTAATATTCTTAGAAGGAATAGGTAAATCTGATATATTATTATCCAAATCATCCTTTTTATTATAATGTATATCATCTTCTAATTTATTAACTTATTATTATTATAAATATTCTCTAATTGTTTATTTTTCTAAAGATTTCATCATCTTATATCTATTACTTTCTAAATATTCCTCCCATTCCTCTACATAAACATTTAGTTAATGGATTATGAAATACATCAAATTAATAATCAAATGTCAATTCTTCATCCTCATTAATTATCACGTATACAATTGGAAAATGATTTATAAATCTTGCTAGATTCCCTTTCGATGTTGGATCTATTACTTCTTAATTGTTTAGTTTCATTAAATATGTGCATGTAGATTTCTAAAATACGTTCACCACCATTCCTTTTCCACAACTTAATGGATATACACATGGATATAATTCTATATCACATTCTGTACAAGTGAATCTATTTAAACATCTCTCACTACAATTATATCAATATTATTGACCTAAATGCTTTATATTAAATCTTTTGGATACATAATATAAAATTAAACAAGAGTCTCATCTCTACTAACTCTATAAAATTTTCTCTCTAAATATCAATTCTCTTTTAATAAAGTAAAATATTTAAAACTATCTTTCGATCCATATATTTGTAAATATTTAAGAAAGTTAGCTACTTCTACTTATTCATTTGATTATTCTGTTTTAACTCTTTATAAATGTAATTTTATTAAATCACCATTAATTTTATGATATGTTAAAATTTCCTTCTCTTATCTTCAGCTAACTAATCTCCATATTAATTTTCTTAATCTATGGATTATTTGACTTATTTATATAATTTCTATTAATTTAATGATATTATAATTATTTCATTAATTTTTGATTCAAACAATTATTATACATTTTATTAAATTTTGGATTTGATGGAGGAATCATTTATAATCCTGAACTTGTCTTGAAATATTAAGTTAGACTTTTTTTAGGAGTGTTTTAATTTGATTATTTTATGGTTTCAAATTTCTATCTCATTTAGCGAATGCCTTGTGTCTTGCATAAACTATTAAAATAAAATTTATTCTAAATAAAAAATGATAATTGTGTTCTTAATAAATTAAGTTGTTGCTTAAATTTTATATTGTGATTATAATGTTGATGGAATATAAAAAGGATTATTATCATTCTAATTACAATGTGATTCAACTCCAAAATCATGTGATAATATACAATAACTTTAAAATTTTAAAATGAGTCACATTTCAGAATAAAAAATGGAAATTAGAAATATTGAATCCGGAGAGTTAGTTATTGGTAATATATCACAATCATCTAATTAAATTCCAAATAGAGATATTAAATTTAAATGTTCACTTTGATTTTAATAATAATTTATATCTTAATCATCTATATTAAAGATTTAATCATATAATATTAGTAGTAATCTTAAACTTATTATAAAATTTAACAATTTTAATTATGATTCATAAATTGTTATATAAATAGATAACTATTTTTATATTTTTTATCATAATTATTTTTAGTAATATTAATAATGTTTCTGACTTGTTGTCTTAATGTTTACTCTATGTTGCTGAAAACTCAAATTAATTTTATTGATAATGAAATTATATTATCTCTTGATTTATAGCCTCCTTACAAAGCTATCCTAAAGAATTTTTACATATTTACAAAGAAGAAGAACCTTTATATTTTCTACCTTTATAATATTCTAATCTTATTAATTGGCAGTTTAAAAGACATTTAGTAGACTTTAGGATTAATAATACTATTTATTTTACAGACTAAACTTATAAGTAAAATGAATTACTAAATGGAAAACTATTTTTTCAAAAATTCAAGATTTCTATTCTCCATTAGTTAAATCTAAACACAGTGATTAATATTTTGTTAACAGGCAGACGTTTTTCCTTGGAACAGGTTTTAAATTTATACTTTCATTAAATAATAAATGCTATACGGATTTCTCTATTCTTACTTTAAATAAATA